CAAGAGGTCACCATCAACCAGAATCTCCTGACTCCTCTGAACCTGGAAATCGACCCCACCATCCAGCGGGTGAGGACCGAGGAGCGTGAGCAGATCAAGACTCTCAACAACAAGTTCGCCTCCTTCATCGACAAGGTGAGATAGGATTTCTATCTAAAACTCCACTATGAGTCTAGTAATAAATGCCAAAAGAAGACGGAAGATATTTCAAGGTTTGTACAAATACCTTGGTGTTTTTCAGGGGTTCCCATTTGCTCCTGAGTCCTGCATTTGGGGGCCCCTTTCTTAGTTGGATTGGCAGGCAGAGCCTGATTCTCATTCAGAGGTGATCCACAAAGGACTCCATGATTACTATAGCAGAGAGAGACAAGCTCTGTGCCCCACTTTAGCACGACTGAGGCACAGGAAGGCAGATGTGTTCACCTGATGGCAGCTCATGTGCCTTCATGTCTCTCAGCACCAGGCCACTCACAGCTCCAGCCAGCTCTTCCACTTTTTGCCTGGGCCCTACAGGATGGGCCCATCTTCCCTAGAAGAATGAGGTTGGGTACTTCACTCTGGAACTCTTTCCGCAGGAGAGCAGCGCACATGGAAAAGTTTAGGGGACAGCAGGTGACATACAAGAGTGAGGAGAACATGGAAACAAGAAATGCAAGCTTTTCTTTCTTCACACTCTGCTCCCCTCCAGGTGCGTTTCCTGGAGCAGCAGAACAAGGTCCTGGACACCAAGTGGACCCTGCTCCAGGAGCAGGGCACCAAGACTGTGAGGCAGAGCCTGGATTCTTTATTCGAGGGGTACATAAGCACTCTCAGGAGGGAGGTGGATAACATCTTCGAGGAGAGAGGCCGCCTGGACTCAGAACTGAGGAGCATGCAGGACCTGGTGGAGGACAATAAGAAAAAGTAGGTTTAAGAAGAATGGGCTCAGGTTCCCAACGCTCATACCTTGAGACTAATGAGTGGCCAGGGCTAGATGTGGATATGGTTACTAAGCATTATATGTCCATTAAGTTGAAAACCAAAATTAAAGGCTAGAAGCAAATAAAATTTTAAAAAGTGAGGTATCAGTAAACACAGGAGGCAAACGATCTGAAAAATGTAGGCACCTTCAGTATCTCTGTGGCATAGAGTTGGATATTCTCTATCTATGGAAAATGTTAGATCCCAGGCTGCCTTTCAGCTTCAACCAGCCACTGGCTCAGATGTGTGTCAACCCTCTTCTCCTAGATATGAAGATGAAATCAACAAACGCACAGCAGCAGAGAATGAGTTTGTCACCCTGAAGAAGGTGAGCTGATTAATCAGGGTTCTAGTTTCTTGCTCAAGGAGAGACAGGACTCTGCATCCCCCTCCCATCTCACAAGACCATTGCCATGGTGATAAAATGGGGGCTGGGGAGGAGGGCTCAGATGACTCCACACTGTGTGCTCTTTCTCCAGGACGTGGATGCTGCCTACATGAATAAGGTGGAACTGCAAGCCAAGGCAGATGGTCTCACAGATGAGATCAACTTCCTCAGAGCCATCTTTGAGGCAGTGAGTATCTCCACCTTGCTTTCCTTCACTCAGATGGGTTCTGCAGGGTGGGGAGGCCTATGACCCAACTGGGCACTTTGGAATCATCCAGGCCAAGATGACCTTAGGACCTTGTGTTCTGCAGGAACTGTCTCAGATGCAAACCCACATCTCAGACACTTCTGTGGTGCTGTCCATGGACAACAACCGCAACCTGGACCTGGACAGCATCATCGCCGAAGTCAAAGCCCAATATGAGGAGATCGCTCAGAGGAGCCGGGCTGAGGCTGAGTCCTGGTACCAGACCAAGGTGAGCAGTGACTTGGCAGCCACTAAGGAGGCCCCAGCCCCACCCTGAGCTCGAGAAGCCTCCTGACTTCATGGGGGAATTACTGAAAGGAGGCTAAAGTCCTCTCACAGAATGTGTACCCCACATTATTAGAACAGCTCTCAGATATGATGTCCCTGTCTAGGAAGCAGAAGAACCACCCCCAGGCAGGAGGAAGCTCCCATAAAGGACCAAGTCATCTTTGCTTAAGCTCAGCTTTTACTGATGGCTCTCAGAGACACTGAGCACAACATCAGTCTCTGAGACATAACTGTCTCTGGTTCCCACCAGGATGTTCTGTACCTTGGTTCCACCGTGTCCAGCCACTTAACATCAACTTTTCTAAAATTCATTGAGGAGAAGCCAATAGGTGGAGATTACTCCCTGTCTGATTCCGAAGGGAGACAGCATTGTGTACATGTAAAACCCCACGCATTCTCTGTCTCCCTCTCCCCCCTGCATGACAGTATGAGGAGCTGCAGGTCACAGCAGGCAGACATGGGGATGACCTGCGCAACACCAAGCAGGAGATTGCTGAGATCAACCGCATGATCCAGAGGCTCAGATCGGAGATGGACCATGTCAAGAAGCAGGTACAGGGCAGAGACAGGGTCGGGGCTGCTTGTCCATGCAGTCCAGCCTCCCGGGCTCTTCTTCACTAGGCAGGAAGAGCAGGGACGAGCCTGCTCGAAGGCCCAGGCTCAAAGCCCATTTCCTTGCTTCCCCTTGCAGTGCGCCAGCCTGCAGGCTGCCATTGCTGATGCGGAGCAGCGTGGGGAGATGGCCCTCAAGGATGCCAAGAGCAAGCTGGAAGGGCTAGAGGACGCCCTGCAGAAGGCCAAGCAGGACATGGCCAGGCTGCTGAAGGAGTACCAGGAGCTCTTGAATGTCAAGCTGGCCCTGGACGTGGAGATCGCCACCTACAGGAAGCTGCTGGAAGGCGAGGAGTGCAGGTGGGTGACACACCCCTCTGAGCACCTGTGGGAGGGGTCTGGCCCTGAGCAGGGGATTGTGGCCAGCAGTGATGGGTGCTGTCAGGAGACTCTGGAACAGGGGTGGGTGGTCTCCATGAGCCTCGGGTGGAGGCTTCTCCTGGGATCAGGTATGGGCTGTGGAGGGCTCATCCTCTGTGTTCCTCTCCTCCTAGGCTGAGTGGCGAGGGCGTTGGTCCTGTCAACATCTGTAAGTACTTGGCTTGTCTGCCTCCCAGTTGTTGACCTAGTGAGCTGGCTCAGGGGACAGAGTGAGCTCACGGTGTCTGTGTCCTGTTGTCCTCCCTATAGCTGTGGTGCAGTCCACCGTGTCCAGCGGCTATGGCAGCGCTGGTGGTGCCGGCAGTGGCTTCGGACTGGGCGGAGGCAGCAGCTACTCTTACAGCAGTGGTCATGGCCTTGGAGGTGGCTTCAGTTCTGGCAGTGGCAGAGGCATCGGGGGTGGCCTCAGCTCCTCTGGTGGCAGCAGCTCCACCATCAAATACTCCTCCACCACCTCCAGCAGGAGCTACAAGCACTGAAGTCCTGTGCTGGCCCTTGTCCCCACCCTGCTCAGCCCTCTGGTGCAGAGCCTTCTGCTCAGGATCTTTTCCTCCCCTGCCTCCACCTTGCTCTCCTGCTGGGGCTCGGAAGGCTCCTACCCTCCTGGGTCCTCTGTCTACCTGCTCCTCTGAGTTTCCACAGCTTATCTGTAGATTGTCAACAACCATTGTCACTCAGACATGCCAACATTGTTGTGATGTTCCTTTCTATATGAATTGCCATTATTCTGTGATGCCTATTCCATATGCTCCATTTAAGTACTGAACATGAGTCCACTGCAGACAAGGAGTCCTCCCTCTGATTTCTAACTGCCCTGATGTTGTAGCTGCCTTCCGGGATTCCTCATCTGCCCCATGTATCGTCTTGCTGTTCCCTTGGCAATGAACGCTATGTGACATAACCCTTCTGGTGTTCTGAGTCTGTATCCCCACCCTATTTTTTTCTGGTCTCTTTGGCTTTATTTGTTCTGTTAAATAAAGTACATTTAAAATATATTTTAAGTTTTTGGGGGTTTTTGGTTAAATTATCCTGCTCCATATTGAGTCTAAATCTTTCTTTCTACAAACTATTCATCATCTTTGGGGGACCATCCCTCTCCCACTGACAGTGCACCATGCTCCATACTTACCATATCCTTCAACACAACGTGATGTAGGAATTTTCTAGGTGGAGATCACCAATGTTCTTTAGCCTTCCACACTTCAGGATTTTCCCCCCAGGTAGAGTCTTTTAAAAAGCATTAAGACTAGGAGGGAAACTGGGTCCTGTAATGTGGATGAGCACAATCTGATAACTGAGGTTCACTTGTTTTTTTCTTTTGTTACCATCATTTTGTGGCTTTGTCCCCTCCTTTATCTCTGAGACTTCTTCAGAGACTCCACCTCCCATTTCCCCACGCCTGAGAGACACTACACAGATCCTTCAAAATAGAAACAGTTGGCAAGAAGGCACAATACTCACCTCTCTATATGATTATTAATATAACTGCTGCAGAGATCGCTTTGATACAAACCCTGAGATGTATCAATCAAACCACATAGCACAGAGAGGAGCATCGGAGACCTCAGAGTGTGGTTTTGAAGCCACATGCTGCTAAATGTGTTGGATGAATTTGACACAACCCAGATTACTTGAGTTCAAGGAAGCCGCCTCTTGCAAGAGGCTGGTTAAACACATTGAACTATACACTCAAAAATGGTGAATTTATCTGTCTAAACCTTATACCTTAATAACCCTGAAAAAAAAGTGAAACTGTAAAAGTCAATAAAATCAATCACTAAAATCTCAAAACAGTGTTGGTTAAAGATTTTGTTTTAAAATACTGTTGGCACAGTATTTTAAACCATGAGTTTAAACCATGTTCCATGTTGGTCAATGACTCAGATTAGTGAGGATGTGGTTCTAAAGATCTTTTTCACTTGGCATTAGGATGTTTAAAACTGTTTTAAATTTTACACATCCATGCAAATTTTGACAAGCAAAACTAGATATGGGAGGTTCATTCAAATCTGTCTAGATATCAATGTCAAGGTTATAATTTTGACCGTTAGGGAGAGACAAACTCTCTAGATTTTAGGTCAGGTTTATACAAGCTTATTCTGGAGCCTGGCTAATCAGACATTCCACAGCATGTCTTATCTATAAGAAAAAAGAATACATAGCACAGGAAACTTCCACTAGAACAATAATACCCATCTTTTCCTCCTTGTAATGGTAATTTGCTAATTTCAAGCCACAATGGATACCTTCTCTAATCAGATTAGGTCTAATCTGTTTACATGGCTGTCACAGGTAGGCAAGGGTCTTAATGCTGGACAGATCACTAGGTAGAAGCTTGGGAGCTGGGGAGACTTTGGGATTAATGATTTCCCTCCGTGTCTTCCACTGCAGTCTGAGGTCAAGGCAAGATAGAAGCAGACGTTGAAACTGCCACACTGGACAAAGCCCAGACGCTGATAGAGAAACATCCCAACGTGGAAAGACAGACTCAGTTCTCCTCTCCCTGTGGAGAACTCCAGGACAGTAGGCCACCTACAGGTACCCCTTCTGTGAAGGCCATGCAAGGACCCAATTGTGAAGAGGCCAACTGGATGCCAGCTGATTTCTGGTTAGAGCAGGCATTATTACTATCCCTGTCACCTATGAATAAGGTCATCCAGACAAAACAGAGTACGCCCAGTTAAATTTGAACTTCAGGAAAACAATAAAAATATTTTAGTATGTTGCAAATATTGCATGGAATGCGCTTATACTAAAATATTATTTGTTGTTTACCTGTACTGCACATCTATATTTTTATGCTACATCTGGTAACCCTGCCTAGATGGTAGATCTGTCCTCATACTGAATGTGATGAGGGCAAGGGTGGCTGGACTGTTGCTTTGGATTTCTGCTGAAGGACAGACAATAGGCAAGGACCAAATATAAGTCCCTTTCCTCTGCACCTTCCCCTCACCGTCATCTCAGGTCTCTGCTTCACGCACCTGCCCCAACGCACCTGCCCCACTCCAGCAGCCTGGGCTCTCCTAAGGGCTTTTAGTCTTTGTGGTCCTCTTTGCCCTCCTTCGATGTAGTCCTACAGTTTCTCAAGACTGATCCTCCAGCTGGTGGCCCATAGGTTGTTTTAAAAGACAATGTATTTATTATGTTTGTTATTTATTAAAAGATATTAACCCAGAAACAAAGGAGGGACACAAAGAGGTTAAAATACTAAGTGTTTGATTGTGAGGAGTGAGAACTTGGATAATTACTATTTTTCTTTTTGTGCTTTGCTGCTACAGAAGAATAAGTGTCCTGCTGCCTGGCCCCACTGCAATACCACTTTTATTACACACTGAATTCCCACATTTTCTCTTCAGTCGTATTGATCTCTGTGCCTCTACCATAGTAGAGCTTTGTATAATAGCTTTTTATATACATTGTTTTCTGATTCAGAAAGTCCTGCTCATGGTTTGTTTTCAGTGCTTCCTGGTTACTCTTCTTGTTTGCTGCATCATTTTCTCTTATCTAAAGGTAGCATGTGAATATTGTTGACTTCTGTACCTTGTTCTTGTACCAAATCACCTTGTTAAACTTCATCCCCATTTTAAAGATGAGAAAACCAAGCCTCAGAAAAGTTAAGTAGCATGACAACGAAGAGGCAGAGCAGGGTCCAAGGGCTGATGGGCCTCGATTCGTAATCTGTGCTCCTCCCCTTCTCTGGGATGTGTGGTCTCACGTGGACTCAGGCTTCCTCAGCTCCCCTTTGGCCTTTGGCCATAGGGAGAGACTGACCTGCGCCTTCTCCTTGGCTCCAGCCCCTTGCATTTCTTGCCCTCTGGTGGAGGCACCCCTGCCCTGGGCTGCCAAAAAGCAGCGGCGGGAGCTTTCTCTTCACCTCAGTGAAGCAATGCTGTCCCATGACCTCAGCTGATGACATACACGCCAGCGAAAACACCAAGCAACGCCTCCCCTCTAGCCTGGGGAGTCCAGCCCACACTAGGAGGAAGATGAATGGTTGCTTTTTCCCAGGCTGGGTCTGTTGCCACTGTCTCCTCCTTCAGCTCTGAACTCTGGCCAGTTTTGTCCTGCCTCTTTCCAAGAGTTCTTACCAAGCCCCTCTGAAACCTCCTTTCCACTTTTCCCACTTTGACTTCTTGTCTACTCCCGGACGATGAGGAAAGAAGGAGTAGAGTGTGACCATCATTAGCTCGTTACATTTGCCTCTGAAAATATTTTCACAATTCACTCCTATGTGCCCTCTGTCATATATCCATCCAGCAGTCACTTGGCAATGTAGTCAAAGGCAGCCTATGGCATAGCAAGGTTCTGGACCCTAAAGAATAATTTACAAGAACGTAGGTACATTGCTAAGTGCGGCTGACTTATGGGTGTCCTGTGAGCAAACCTTCTCACCTGGCCAAGCTAAAACTCTACCCATAACACACACACACACACACAGAGAGAGAGAGAGAGAGAGAGAGAGACAGAGACAGAGACAGAGACAGAGAGACAGAGAGAGAGAGAGAGCGCCCAAGAGGCAAGGCAATGAATGCCAAGTGTGAAGGTCCTTGAGAAATGGTAGGGCAGCTTCAGGGGTGCTCAATAGGCACCCATTCCTTCAAGGACAAAATTTTAAAAATGTAGGGGAACCCTGCTTCAATACTAAATCTATAAAATACCATGATGCCTAAATAGCATTATCATAGCAGAGTATATACATGTGTATCTTATGGAAATATTCAGCACTCAAAACAAACTAGAAGCCTCACTTCCATTTATTACCCAATAATATCTCATAAATTATTCCAGAGAGAATCTATATTCATCTCTAAAACTTCCCTCCAGGAAACACATTCCTGTTTGGCATTAGAAGGTAGAAGTAATTGAATCCCTCTTGGTGAAATTTAAGTTTACTCCCTAGTCGTCTCAATAATAATAATGACAAAGAAACAGATTGGTCTTTGATCACAATTCCTTTCTCCTTTCCTCATACCTCCTATTTCCCAATTCATTCGTCATTTGCATGAGTTTTTGGGCTCCCTCAAGGCTGGCCAACTCTTGTTTAATAAACCAGTGCTCAGGGGTGAATGAAAGGCACTTGCAAGTATTTCCTTTAAAAGGAATTTCTCTCTCTCATTGGCCTGATGAAGCACATCCAGAATATGCACAGGAATCACACAGAGGGCACTGGGGCATCTGCCCATGAGGTCATTGCCATTTAACCTTTTCCCTGGAAGGGAGGAGAGAGTAGTATCCTGGCTGCTCAGATGTAATCTGCATCATGGACACAGAGCTGATCTGCTCCGTGGACACCAGTTCTTCCATAGATTCCAGTAGGACATCTCTCTGATTTTATCCTCTGCAAGCTGCATGTTGATCAATTGCACTTGGATTGCATACCAAAAGAGCTGACTAATGAGACAGCCCTGTGCCATGTCCTTCTTCAAAGAGACTAATTCCCTTGTACTAATGAGTCATGGGCCCTAATGTTCCTTTTCTCTATATCCAGGCTTTTGAATATTTACCCTTCTTAAAGAAGAGCAAGAAGAGGTTCTTGTTCTACAGTTATATCTAGTCAACCAGTCTCAGTTCAATGGCTCTGTTTCCCAATATCATCATCAATGTCATTGTTGCCACCTTGTTACCAGTGACTGATTTGCTACTGCAGGTCAGTTGGGCATTGTACAGCCCAGAGTGAGGCAGGAACTCCTAGACGAGTATGGGTGCCCTTTGGAATTAGCCTTCCTATGGATCATGGGAAACACAACCCACATCCAGATGGTCCTGTCCTTGGAAACACCCAGGTAAACAGTGCATCACCTAGATGTCTCATGTAGGAGTGCAGCTTGATACAGACGAGGAAGGTATATGTCCTACAGATGAATGCAATCCCATCCCAAGTGTGGGTGGATTCACTCTGTGATTTAACCCTGAGAAATGTTTAAGCCAAGCCAGCCTGCTGAACCTCCCCTTCTATGCTCCAGGGCTGATTCCAGCAGTCTTCTGTGAGTGC